GTATTCGGAGTGTTAAGGAAGCCAAACTGCTCCTCGGTGGTAGACTGCCCTTTCGAACAGCTTAGAACTTTTTTTACGTGAATTTATTTCACGATAGATTATTCTTCTGATTGTCCAATCGATGCCAGGTTTCCAGAACTTTAACAGATAATTTCTATGTTTATAACAAAAAAAGATTTTTTATTTAGACATGAAAATCAGTTTTGAAGAAACAGCTTTTCAATAAACTTTATTAAATGTTGAAGTTTAACACTTATTTTATTTAAGTAAGTCTAAGATCGTATTCCATGCACAAGTTCAAAATATTTAAAATTGTTGCAAACTGCGGGAACATACACAGCAAAAAAATAATTTTGATATCACATCAAAGTGGATGCACTACAGTCATGTCGAAAATTTCATGTAATTTTTATGACCACATAAATAAAAAATGCAGTAAAAGCAGCGTAATGTCAGTTCATGCATTGTATTAATGATAATTTTGTCCTTTTTAGCAAGTAATATTGCACCATATTTTCGACATGATTGTAGTGCATCCACTTTGACGTGATATCAAAATTATTCTTTTGCTGTGTAAGGGATGTTTACATTCTGAAAATATGGGCAACTTTCTGAGAGCTTTAGGAACTTCAAAGCGGTTCTATTAGCTTCTGGACAAATGCAGGAACTTTAAAGAAGTTCCTAGAATTTTAGAGTACTTCACCGGTAAGAGAACTTCAGAAACATAAAGAATTTGAGAAAAGTGTGGAAACTTTAAAGAAGCTCTAGGTACATCAGAAAAGCTAAAAATAGAGATCTTTGGGGAAATTCAGAGATCCTAAGAGCTGTTCCCGTTACTTTAGTTCAGATTTTTGGAGCAGTTTAAAGGTCTATAAGCGTGAGATTAGAAAAATTCAGGAAGTTCCATGATATGCTGAAGACATGAACAAATCGAGAACCCTTAAGATGTTCCAAGTATATCAAGGAATTACACAGACCTTCAGAGAATTTATGAAAACTTCCAAAATATATCAGAAATCCAGAGAATTTTCGGGAAGCTCAAAGGAGTTCCATTTATTTCAGAGTAGGACCGAGGCCTTCAATATGATTGAGAGCTTCAGGAAAACTCCGAGAACATCAAGTCAGAATTTCAGAAACCTTGAAGAACTCAGGGAATTTTCGGGAACTTCATAAAAGCTGCGAGAGAGTGTCTGGAACTCAGTATAAATTATATGAACATCTGAAAAATGTAAAAGTATTTTAAGAGTGATATATCATGAAAATTTCAAGAGCTTCAGTTAATTACGAAGATTTCTGCGGCTGAAAATCTCCGAAATAGAAAAAAAAAAGTTAACTGCGAAAATTAAGCTAAATTTTTTTTATTTATTTGATAAGGCTCAATCGAATTCACTTTAAGAAGCAAAGAATTCTGACTCATTAATCAAAATATCGTAAAAGTACATTCAAAAGGTACAGCACAAAAAACGCTTTATCTTCCGTAATCCAATAAGCCTCCTCCATCAGAACGGGATCCACTTCCAGTGGTTTTATTGTATGGCAGTATCCGGGGCAGAGAGCTTCCATTGCAGCAATGGACGCAATACCGTGGTAATCACACACACACTCATCACGAAACGGTTGCTTTCCAAAGTCGACGACGCATCGAACTGCTGATGAAGAACAATTAGCCGAATAAACAGACAATCGCGTGACACTCATAGAGAGTGGCCTGCTTCTGTTGAAAGCCGAGTGAACACTAGAGTTAAGCTAAGTTGATTAGAGAACATCTTCGAAGTTACATTAATTAAAATACATTGCGAGATCTTTCAACAAGCACCCATATTTTCAACAAAATTCAGAGAACATCTAAGAAATTAAGATATTTTTAGATAGTTTCATGATATTCAGCGAAGTTCCGGGTGCTTTGTGGGTGATCAGATAATTTCAGAGTAATCCCATTTACTTAAGGACATTCGCAGTGGCATACAAGGAGTTTAAAGATCCGAAAACTTCAGAAACGCCAAGGAATTATGAATATATGTCAGAAAATTTTCCGGAACGTTAAGCAAATTTAGAGAACTTCAGGAAAGCAAAAAAAACTTCAGGAATGTCCAGATAAGTTCAGGAAAAATTAGTGATTTAAGGCAAAGTTCCATGAGCGCTTATAAAGTTTATGAAACTTAAGGAATTGTGGAAGCGGCGCCGGTATTGTAGTGGTAAGCGAGGACCAAAGGGCCTGAGTTCAATCTCAGTCGGCACCGCCGGGATTTTCTGAGGCATAACATCTCTGATCACGCCTTCCTTCGGGAAGTAAAGCCGTTGGTCCCCGGTCCATAAGTTGATGGGTCGATAGGTAGGGTCCAGGTATGGGAGCTGCCTCCCTGGTGTCGGTAGCATTAGCATACCGCCGATCTTGTTTTCCGTGCTGATCACCAATGTTACCAACACCAGGGAGGCAGCTCCCACACCTGTACCCTACTTATCGACCCATCAAGGACCGGGAACCAACGGCTTTACTTCCCTTCCGAAGGAAGGCGTGATCAGAGATTTTATGTCTCAGAACATCCCGGCGGCGCCGACTGGGATTGAACCCAGGCCTGCTGGGGTGATAGCTAATCACGCTTACCACTAAACCACCGGCGCCGCTAAGATCGACGGTAAAAAAATCAATAGAAATTGTGGAAAAATCAAGCCATATCTATTAATTTCAGAAAAATTGCAGGTTCTTATAAAACATACCTTAAAACTCAGGGCAGCCTTTAAAAAAATCAGAAGACTTTTGGGCAGTTTAATAACGTAAGTGAAGTCTAAACAATTGATGAAGTTATTAATTAGAGTCGATTGCAGGAGCTTGAATCAGTAACAGAAGTGCAGAGATCTTCAGAAACATTCCGAGAACTTTATAGAAGGAACTCAAGGGAAGATCCGAGAACTTCTGGAACTTTAGTAAAATGAGGGAGAATTTCAAAGAAGTTTAGTTAGCTCCAAAAATATGGGGAGTTTCGGTAGGAGTTCAGCTCTATTAGTTTCAGAAAATTAGTGAAAAGTTTTAAGAAGATCAGGACTTCAGAGATGTTAGGAAAATTACTGAGGTCTTCACATAAGTTCAGAAGTTCACGGAAGCTTAAACATTTTTAGAATAGTCCAATTAAATGTTGGGCAGTACAACAAGCTTCATGAGAACTGTAAAAACTTTAGAGAGGTTTTGATAACTTCATGATAGAGCAGAGAACCTCAGAGCAGATCCGTTAACATTAGAAAAATTGCATGAATTTTAAAGAAGTTGCGAAAGCCTCCGTGAATTGTTAACACTTAAGAGAAGATCCATGATCGTTAGGAAAATTAAGGAAACTTTGAGAAGTCCGAAAACGTGCAGGGAGTTTATAAGTACGGTGAGTATCAGGCTAGTTTTAAAACTAAAAAGAAATTTAAGGAAGATTTAATGGACTACATATTATTCCATATTTATCGAAGATTCTTCATGAAAATTCACTTGGAGTTCTCTTTAGCATTACGATGGAACTATCTTCCGAATTCAATTTTCTTTTAATTTTCTTTGAAGATCTTTTCAGTAAGAAACTCTTTGGAAACATTATCTGAATTTTCATTAAATTTATTTCAGATTTCCTGTTGGTCACAATCTGATCACTTATTTCTTCACTATCACTAAAATCACTATTTTGATAGCATTGACCGCTACCAGCCCTGCCGTTGGTTAAAGAATCTGGAACTCAAGTGTGTGAGTTCCAGATTCAGAATTTGGTCGAAACCTGGGGCCTTCATGTTTTTAGATGATTTGATATAGGCCAACGTTCGTCAGCCGTAAACTCGAAAAATACAGGAACACAGGAAAAATGTTGGGAATTTTCAACAACTGTCTCAGACTGAACATGGCATACGATAATGTTCAGTCTGAGATTATGAAAGCTGAGGAAGTGTTGACCTATAGCATCAGTCGTCTCTTCAGGGGCTACCAGATGGGCGACTGAATCATTGGGTTGACTCAAGGGTACAAGTGGTGGAATGGGCCTTGGCTTATTTTTAACGATTTTTCTTACTTTGACTATATGTTTAGTATAACTTCCTTAAAAGTTGTCCTAGCTCGCTATCTACTTTCTATATGCAATTTTCACACTGCCGTACTCTAGGCTTTCATCTCCTCCATCTATCGTATGAAAATTACCACTTTAGTCTGTTATTAGAAATTAGCATCTTCAACTATGATTTTTGTTGGTTTCCAGAAGAGCTTGGCACAATCTGGGAGTGAACAGAACCTGCCACTAAAGCCATCATTTCTGAGGTCCACCATCCTGGCTTGAATAATGTTTGTTAGGCGATTGGGTTAGTTTAAAATTATGAGATCACATGAAAGTAATGTGAATTTCACATGGGTATTTTCCATTAATTATGTGATTTATTTTTTGAGTGTACTTCATTTCATATAGTTGCAGAGAATAATCAAGGCTTACTTTGATCAAAAATACATAATAATCAAGATTAAGCTTGATCCGGGTCACTGGATGGCCTACTGGTCACTCAGTATTTAGAACCAGGTTTATTAAAATATTAATCAGCACTACCCATAGATGGCTGTTGCTGTGGATTTTCAGCATCACCTTGTTCTAGACGACTCGTACCTTTTCTTACATTTTCATGAAAACTTTGGGTTTCACCTCGGTTCTCTGATTTGTTTAAAAACTGTAATCAATACTTTGACAGATCGATGTCCATGTATAACACTTAAAATCCAAAAACAAAAGTTTCAACTTTTAAAACTCTAGTTCCGCATGGCCATACGATTCTATTATGATGTGTTCCAAACATGGCATGTGGGAATTCCATAGGCCATAATTGGAACATACCACAATAGGAACGTATAGCCATGACTGGTATACCTATCCAAAATGCAAAATGACTGATGAAGAGCGCTCATTTGAACTAGACCAACGGAAATGTATATTTCAAAGGTGATTTAAAACTATTACAAACACGACAAATATCTAATCACTTAAAATTCACCTTCAAGCAACGCTGAGAACGGCACGATACAACCACCGTGGCTTTCGGTCAACGAAATTGATCACGCAGTTGGGCATCGCTCGCTGAGCCATCTCCACATCCTTGCCCGTGATCAGTGCACACCGGTTTATCTTCAAATACTTCAAACAGGGAAATATGTTTGCCACCTGCAGCAAGCTATCCCCCAGCAACCAGTCAAAATGCTCCAACCGCAGCCGCTTGACACTGCTCTGCCGTTGTGAACCGATCCTCATCAGTGCCATACTGCTAAGAGTTAGCTGCTCTACGTTTACCAGATCCCCAAGCCAATCAAAACCATCGCCCGCAAGCTGCCTCTCCTCGGGAAACTCGAAATCTGCCACGGTCAATCGATTGAGCTTGGTGAAGATTCTACCGATGTGGATCATAAGAGCATTGTCCATTTGCTTGCTCCGGGTGCCAATGACCTTGAGAGCCCGAACGCTCGGTAGCATGTAGTTCAACTGCTTGACGAATGCTCCCTGATCGAGAAGCTTCTTGTGCCAATAGAGACAGAAGGTTTCAACGGTCGGTAACGGTTTACAGCCATCAATCATGTGGTGTTTCAGGCATCCATCGATGAGAAGAATCTGTATCAATGTAGAGGATATTAATTATCGATTGGATTAAATAAGACATGTTCATTGCATACCTTTAAGTTCTTTAGCTTCTCCAGAATGCAAAGCGATCTATGTTCCATCCTATCTGCGATGAATCCAAAAGTGGTCAACTGAGGACAGTTGTCGCAAATCACTTCTAACAGTGAAACCGACATTCGAATGTGGAGAAAAAGTACGTTTAGCTTGGGAATACCCGTGAAAAGCTGACGCAACGACTCATTATCCAAATAGAAATTAGTTCCCCAAAGCTTAAGCGTTTCCAAGTGACGTAAATCCAACAGTTCAATCGGAGCTCGATTGAAGTCTGCAAAGACCTCCAATGTTTTTAACTGTGGCGACAATGCTCCCAACGCTTGAAACGAAGTCTCCGTAACGTTGCGTCGGAAATACATACTCAAATTCCGCACACTGGGCATCACCCGAGAGACGTTAAAACCCGGTACATCGAAAATAGCGTCGGTTGATCTTAAATCGACTAGATGTGCCAACACCGGAAACTCCTGCGTTCTCAAATAAGCCTCAGCGTCGTTGGTGACATTGACGACCAGTCTCCTCAAATTTGGTAATTTCTGAAGCATTTCCTTCAATTGTACCGGTGTGAACAACGACTGGCTACCGAATACCTCAATATATTCACCAAACTTTATCAGAATCACCAAAATCAACACCACGTCTATTCCACTGCTACCGAAGTCCACCGTCAGGTTCCGGTACGTTCGCCAACTTTTCTCCAACACGTCAACAACCAATCGCTTCTCGATTAGTTCCTGCTCTTTGAGTCTCAGCCGAACGCTAGCCAGATAGCGGTACGAAAAAGCCAGTACAGCCCAGCGTCGGCATACGAGAGAAGATGCTTTGCGATCGCACAGCGGAAGGAAGCTCATTATATAATCGATAGTTTCCTCCGGAAGGTGATGGATGTGGGTTCCGGTTGTTTTGGAGAGCGCCATTGAAATCGGGTTCAAATTGTTATGTTATGGATGTAACGGAAGAAAGAACACTTTGGACTGACGATGTGAGTACGGGGAACGACAATATAGCCTCAGTGGATCGTATCTTTAGGTAGACTTGATAAATGCAGGTACCTAAGAGGGATTACCATTGAATAATTTTACCTGTATCTAATGTTGGTTTTGACGAAAAATACCGTTAATCCGTTCTACGTGAATGCCACAGTTGGTCAAAATTTTAAGAGTCTTTCCTAGTTCGAATATGAGATTCCTAGGACCTTAACCTTTACTATACGGGGTAAATCTGGGTAAACATTAATCTCGTATTATTATCTAAGCTAGTTTAAAAAAAAACTTACCTATTATTCATTATACGGTTGAATGAACTTTCCTACCTAAACATAATTCTTATAAGAAAGGCATCACTCTCAATCTACGTGCAGGCAGTTAAAGAGGTTTATATTTTCTTCGTACATGTAAAACAAATAGGAACATTAGAAAATCCAGACAGAATTTCCAATGTGAACGTTAAACATCTGCGAACAACCAAAATATCAACAGAGCAGTTCCACGACAACTCTGCCCATAAATAAGATAATGGCTAATGTGAGTAATGTAAGATTGGGCCCATCGCTAAAAATCTGCTATTTATCTATTTTATCTAGATGAACGCGTCATTGGGACGTTACTAATGGATATTTTGGGTTTCTATTGAAAATTTAGTCGATTGCTGAATTTATGTATGGGCCCAAATTAGGGACACTTAGGCCGACATTATCTGCATTTCCCCTATATTTAGCTTTTAAAGAGTGCATAATATCATCTATGACGACATCATGCCGTTGTATGTAAACGGCAAAACAAATAGCCAATTTTTATTTGAACATAATTTTCAAAGCAGTAGACATTGCTTCATTTACAAAGCTGACAAACGGTGAGATCTTTTGGCTAACGTGCGTACATGTTCATTTATCTTGTCAAACGTGTCTGCTCTAAATGACGTTGCATTACTTGCTCCCGTCAAAGTGAATAGGAGTCGCGAAACAGGCCTTCTCATGGCTAAAAGGAAGAGCATAGGTACTGTGTTCCCTGGAAACTGTAATAAACAAACCCGGCTACGCATTATTGAACCATAGTTGAGCAAAATTATTTGCATATCTTCCCGTAAATGAGAAATTGGCTAATGAACCTGAAACAAAAAATCAAGAAAAATGCAACTTTAACATTTTTGTTGGTTGAATAAGTTTACACGATAAAATTAACTTTTGAAATGTTCATAACTATATTTTCCTATGCCAGAAACATGCCGTTGAATAAAACCGACGAAAAATTTAGCCAATTTCACAAGACAGACAGACAGACAGACAGACAGACAGACAGGCAGGCAGGCAGGCAGGCAGGCAGGCAGTTGTTCGCCTCCTCGTGGTGCACCCTGGAAACGATGGACCACCAGTGCTGCGGTACTGATCCAGTTGGCTAATCGAACAACAAACGAGGGGACGCGCCGGACGGCGTCTTGCGATCGATGTCAGTAAGATCGCAAGTATGTATACTGACACACTGGCATTATGTAGGATACAGAGTGGAAACTTATCATAAACCACGCTACGGGCTGTTGCTCAAGGTATTTCATCCTCTTAGTAGAGTCGGGTGGAACCGACCGAAACGACGTTTGAGCTAATGCCTGGTTCGTCTCCGTCCCATAAAACCCTGGCAGGCCTTAGAATACGTTCCTACCGTGCCACCCAGTTGGGGCTGCGGTGGGAATAGGTTCGGTTGAGTTATTCCCGTCTTACGCGATCCGGCTCTGAACATAACGCCCCATGAAGGCCTATGTCAACCCTCGTCATGGACCTCACTGCTCGCATAGGCGCACATGGGGATCAATCAGCGACTATTCCATTTGCACGGTAGGATAGCGGTCCAAGGGGGACCCAACAGTCGGGATGATTTCAAAAAGTCATCAAAAAAGCACAAAACCCCAAACCCCCAGTGAACAAGTCGCCGAGGAGGTGACCGCGAATCCGTTCGCGAAGGGTAGTCTATCCAGATCTCCCCAACACAGTGAGCCGAACAAACGGCCGAAATCTCCGCGCGACGCAGAGACAACGGCCGAGATCGGTGGACAGCCGGAGGAGCAGCCGAAGGGCTGGCCCGGGCTAATCAGAACCATGAATAGCTTTGGGCCCCTCCCTAGGTTGCACGCAATCGCGGGACAGCTCGACGCCATCATAGAGTTCACGAGCACGAAGAGCAACATCGCGAAGGACCTAAAGCAGGCCTTGCGACAGCTCCGTGCAAACGTGAACGAGGCCCAGGACGACCACGAGCGGCTTAGGAAGCGACTAGAGGTCGCAGAGAGGGCGGAACAGAAGGAGCCGAAGTCTACCCAGACGGACGCCTTCAACTTCGCGGGCAACAACACGATGTCCAGCGAGGCTCTCCACTTTGCCGTTACGCAGGGACAGAAGCGCGATCGGCCCTCACCCTCGCCAGTAAAGGGCGCGGCATGCCCTAAGAGACGGGAAGTCTCTGCACAGGTGGAGTGCGTGGCGGTGGCCCATCAGCCCACTGCACCAGTGGACGTACCGCAGAAGAGGGCTGGAATAGCCAATAGAACAGTTGAGAACAGTAGCGGCTCCAAGGGCGGGAAGCAGGGCAGTAAGAAGGGCGCTCCCCGAAACCCCCGAAACCCCCGGACAAAACTGCCCCCAAGAGCAGTGCTGCCCGGACCAGGAACAAGGGCGAAGCTCTCATCTTCAAGACGGACGCGTCGAAATACGCGGAAGTCTTGAAGAAAATGAGAACGGACGAGCGCCTTGTGGAGATGGGCAGAAACGTGAGGAGCATCAGGCGCACTCGTACAGGCGAGATGCTCCTGGTGCTCAAACGTGGTGCTAAGGACCAGGGACCAACCTACCAGAAACTGGCAAAGGAGGTTGTTGGTTCTGGGGTGCAGGTGAAGTCGCTAGGCTCGACTATCACCATCCAGGTCAAGGACCTGGACGAAGTGACGGAGGCGACCGAGATAGTCACGGCGCTCCGGGAATAGTGTCAAGTCGAGGTACCGCAATCAGCGATTACCTTGAGGAAGGGACTGTTCTCCACCCAAGTGGCTACCATCAGGCTCTCTGCAGCTGAGGCCAGAAAGGCGGTAGCCGCAGGGAGGGTGCGAGTGGGCTGGTCGGTCTGCCCCGTCAGTATTCCCCGACCGGTGACGGCTTGCTTTAGGTGCTTCGGTCAGGGCCATGTGGCCCGTGACTGTAAGAACACCGACAGGAGCAAGCTTTGCAGATGGTGCGGCTCGGAGGGCCATAAGGCGCGAGGTTGCCAAAAGCCGCCGAGGTGCACTATATGCGCGGAGAAGGGGAATACCCCTACCAACCACATGGCAGGTGGGGAGCTTCCCCATTCAGGAGGTAGTCGTGTCCAACTCGAGCGAGGGATTCGTGATCACCAGGGTTAACGGAGTATACTTAAGTAGCTGCTATGCTCCGCCCAGGTGGTCTATCGAGCAATTCTCGCAGATGGTGGACAGACTGACTGCGGCCTAAGACCGGTGGTCATTGCGGGCGACTTTAACGCATGGGCGGTAGAGTGGGGTAGCCACCACACCAACCAGAGAGGATGCATCCTACTGGAGGCAATGGCCAAGCTGGACGTTGTACTATCCAACACCGGCTCGGTCAGTACCTACAGAAGGAATGGTGCAGAATCCGTCATCGACGTGACATACTGCAGCCCGAGTTTGGAGGGCAACCTACACTGGAGGGTCGATGAGGGTTACACTCATAGTGACCATCAGGCGATTCGGTACAGTGTGGGGCCAGGTGAGAGGCGAGTGGCAGGAGGACATTCTTCCTGCGCTCGAGGCTGGCAGACGTCGTTCTTCGAGGAGGAGGTCTTCGGCGAAGCACTGAGGCGGGAGCGAATAACCCCGGATCTGACGGGGGAAGAACTGGTAGCAGCACTGACAAGGGCGTGCGATACAACCATGCCTAGGAGAGCCTATCCCAGGCATGGCCACAGACCGGTGTACCGGTGGAGCGAGTCGATTGCTATCCTCAGGGCGTCTTGCCTCCAGGCGAGAAGGAGGATGCAAGGCAGCCCTCAATAAAGAGATCGCCAGACGCAAGCGCGCGTGCTTTGACAGCCTATGCCAAAGCGCCAACACGAACCCATGGGGAGATGCTTACAAAGTGGTCATGGCAAAGACCCGCGGCGTGACGGCACCCCCGGAGAGATCACCAGCGGTACTGGCTCCGATCGTTGGGTTCCTGTTCCCGCGTAGGGACGTAGACTCCTGGCCGCGGATCCCAGGCGCGGATCAGGGAGAAGTGTCTAGAGTGACGAACAGTGAACTTGGCGGTATTGCCAGGTCGCTGGTGGTGGGCAAGGCCCCGGGCCCAGATGGGATCCCGGTTGTGGCTCTGAGGGCAGCCGTTGCGGAAAATCCAGACATGTTCCGTTCTGTTTTTCAGACTAGTCTGGACGTAGGCGTCTTCCCAGACGCGTGGAAGCGGCAGAAGCTGGTGCTGCTTCCGAAGCCAGGAAAACCCCCTGGGGACCCGTCAGCATACAGACCCATCTGTTTGCTGGACACCACTGGGAAACTGCTTGAGAGGGTCATCCTCAACAGGCTGTCGGCCTACACCGAAGGTGTAGACGGCCTGTCAAGCAGCCAGTACGGGTTCCGAAAGGGCAGATCCACGGTGGACGCCATCCGCGACGTCATCCAGACGGCAGGGGTGGTCCATCGGAAACGAAGGGGCATTCGCTACTGCGCGGTGCTAACCTTAGACGTGAAGAACGCGTTCAACAGCGCGTGCTGGGGGGCGATAGCCCGCTCGCTACACCAGCTCCAAATTCCCGGAGGGCTGTATAAGATTCTGGAAAGCTACTTCCAGAATCGTGTGTTGACGTACGACACAGAAGATGGCGAAAAATGCGTTAGAGTCACCGCAGGTGTGCCACAAGGCTCCATCCTGGGCCCGGTGTTATGGAACGTC